GAAGCTGTGCGCAGCTCTGACTCCACACGCTGGCGAGGCACTTACGCGTGAAGACGTCCAGGGGGAAGAAGAAGAAGGAGAAGAAGAAGAAAAAGGAGAAGAAGGGAGAGAGGGAGGGAGGGAGAGAAGGCACTGGTGCCGAACTGATGGCAACAAACACCTGCGTGTATGTTCGTGTGCATGGCGTTTGTTGTTCTTCGTCGACGCGCACGCGCACGCGCGCACGGGTCCTGCCCACCTCCGTGCCCGCCGCGAACTCCGGGCCGCACGCCTCGTGGGGGGCGCCGCTCGCCCCAGAGCGCACTCCTCAAGGCCTGCCCCTCCTCGTCGGCGTCGTCCCCCTCCTGGTCCTTCTTCCCCTTCCTCCTCCTCCTATTCCTCCTCTTCCTCATCCTCATCCTCATCATCATCATCATCATCATCATCATCATCATCATCAGCAGCATCAGCATCAGCATCAGCATCAGCATCAGCATCATCAGCATCATCAGCATCATTCATCAGCATCAGCATCAGCATCAGCATCAGCATCACCATCATCATCATCATCATCATCATCAACATCAGCAGCAGCAGCAGCATCAGCATCAGCATCATCATCATCAGCATCGTCATCGTCATCAGCATCAGCATCAGCATCAGCATCATCAGCAATCAGCATCGGCATCAGCATCAGCATCAGCATCAGCATCAGCATCATAATAATCATCATCATCATCATCATCATCATCATCAGCATCATCATCATCAGCATCATCATCATCAACATCGTCATCAGCATCAGCATCAGCATCAGCATCAGCATCATAATAATCATCATCATCATCATCATCAGCAGCAGCATCAGCATCAGCATCAGCATCAGCATCATCAGCATCATCAGCATCATTCATCAGCATCAGCATCAGCATCAGCATCACCATCACCATCATCATCATCATCAACATCAGCAGCAGCAGCATCAGCATCAGCATCATCATCATCATCAGCATCGTCATCGTCATCAGCATCAGCATCAGCATCAGCATCATCAGCAATCAGCATCGGCATCAGCATCAGCATCAGCATCAGCATCATCATCATAATAATAATCATCATCATCATCATCAGCATCATCATCATCAGCATCATCATCATCATCAACATCGTCATCAGCATCAGCATCAGCATCATCAGCAATCATCATCGGCATCAGCATCAACAGCAGCATCAGCATCAGCATCAGCAGCAGCATAATCATCATCATCATCATCATCATCATCATCATCATCAGCATCATCATCAGCATCATCATCATCAGCATCATCATCCCGCTCCTCTGTTTCCCAACCATCCTGTGGTGTTGGGTCCTCGTTTTGAAGAGACGGTCCCCGCATTCCTCTCCTCTCCTCTTCCCTCCTCCTTCTCCTCCTCCTCCTCCTCTCGTTTCCTTCCTCCCCCTCCTCCTCCCTCCTCCCGTCAAAACCATCCTGTGGTGTTGGGTCCTCGTTTTGAAGAGACAGCGCTCCGCGTCACTCCTCCCCACCCCTTCTCGCCTATGCTCTTCGCATGTGTCTGTCTCGCCGAACCCCTCACACGTTTCGTGGCCCCCTAGGGAGCTCCGCCGAAGGCCCAAGCGGCAGGGTTCGCATGCGGTTCCCCGCCCATTTCGGCACACCCCTCACACGTGTCGTGGCCCCCTAGGGAGCTCCGCCGAAGGCCCAAGTGGCAGGGTTCGCATGCGGTTCCCCGCCCATTTCGGCACACCCCTCACACGTTTCGTGGCCCCAGAGGGAGCCCCGCCGAAGGTCCAAGTGGCAGGGTTCGCATGCGGTTCCCCGCCCATTTCGGCACACCCCTCACACGTTTCGTGGCCCCAGAGGGAGCCCCGCCGAAGGTCCAAGTGGCAGGGTTTGCGTGCGGTTCCCCGCCCATTTCGGCACACCCCTCACACGTTTCGTGGCCCCAGAGGGAGCTCCGCCGAAGGCCCAAGTGGCAGGGTTCGCATGCGGTTCCCCGCCCATTTCGGCACACCCCTCACACGTTTCGTGGCCCCAGAGGGGGCTCCGCCGAAGGCCCAAGTGGCAGGGTTCGCATGCGGTTCCCCGCCCATTTCGGCACACCCCTCACACGTTTCGTGGCCCCAGAGGGAGCTCCGCCGAAGGCCCAAGTGGCAGGGTTCGCATGCCGCCCATTTCGGCACACCCCTCACACGGTTCGTGGCATCATCCATAGGGAGCTCCGCCCTCCGTGGCAAAGTTTGCGTGCGGTTCCCAGCACATTTCGGCACACCCCCCACACGGCTCGTGGCCCCATATGGAGGCCCGTCGAATAATGGACCCAGAAAGCGGTATCCACAACTGCGTATGGTTGGGTCCTTCGTCAGGCTAATCTTCTTGTAGTGGCGGTCCTCCTCCTCCTCCTCCTCCTCCTCCTCCTCCTCCTCCTCCTCCTCCTCCTCCCCCTCCTCCTCGTCCTCCCCCAGTTTTTTCCCTATACATAACTCCTCCCTGTCGCACCGCCGACGTGTTAGTAGGGCGGGCCCGGCGTTTCGCCTGAGACTTCTTCACCATGTATGATCCCGAGTCTTGACACGTACAACAGCTTCACGGATGGAGGGCGGATGGTTCTCAGCATGTTGGACTCGCGTTAGCGCCACGCACAGTCGCCTTCAAGGCTTTCAGCATCTTGAAGAGAGGAGCACAAGTCGACTTCAAGATGCAATTCTCGCATTGGCGCGGCGCATAGTTGTCTTAAGTTTGCAGCAGTTTCGAAGATGGAGGGCGAGTTCTTTCCAACGCATGGCTCTCGCCTTGGCTCTGGGCACGTTCCGATGAAGAGTTTGCACCAGCTTAGAAGGTGCAGCACACATCGTTTTCAGCATGCAGCCGTCGCCTTCGCGCTGCGTGCATTCGTCCAAATAAAAATAAAAGTTAGCGGCAGCTTCAAGGATGGAGAACGTCTGCTCTTCAAAATGTGGCTCTCGCCTTGGCGCCGCGCACATTCGTCGTGAAAGTGTGCGACCGTTTCCAGGAGTTCTACTTATGGTTGAAGTCCCTGGAATGGTGTTCTGGTACTGCTCAGGATTGGAAGGACGCGGCATTCACGTTGATGCGGGGTCTTCAGATCCCAGAAAGGGCGGTCTGGTATGATGTAGGATGATCAGGGCGCAACAGCCACGTTGAACCGCAGCATTAAAGTCCCAGGAATTGTGTCTTGATGCGGTATACGATTCTCAAACGGTCGCCTTCGAATGGGCCACTTCCCACAATGATGACAACTCCTTGTAGGTACATATGAAGAGGGAACTTGGAGGGATGGTCTGTTAGGGGGCGATATGCGAACCCTACTCCTGCCCACCACGATCTCTGAGGGGGAGGGTGGGGTTCACTCCGTTCGGGAGCTCCCGAGCGGAGTGAACCCCACCCTCGCCCTCAGAAATCGTGGGGGGGCAGGGGTAGGGTTCGCATGTGGCCCCCTATATGTTGCAACATCGCTGATGCGTTTTATGCATTTTACACTGGCTCTCCTCCTCCCATGATTCCTCCTCCTCCCCATCATTCCCGTGCCGCCCCGTCCCTCCACCGCCTCCTGCTCCTGACTTTGCCTCCTTCTCCTCCTCCTCCCCCTCCCAGTCCTCCCCCTCCCCCATCCTCCCCCTCCTCCCCCCTGCCCCCCTCGTCCTGCCCATCCTCGCCCTGCCTGCCCCAGGAGGGCCACGGAAAAGGGGCGAGGAGGAAGGCGACGAGGGGGACGGTGGGGGACGGCACACGGGCGGGGACGGCGCCGAGGCCTTGGCGAGGGGGGAGCGGGGGCCGGCGGCAGAGAAGGGAGAGGGGTGGAGGGACGGAGGAGGGACGGAGGGACGGGCAGGAGGGCACCAACTTGAATACCAACACCGAGCCTGGCCAGGGTCACCCTGGGCCCAGGATCGACGCATCCGCCCTCCTGCCCTGGGCAGAGCGCACATATGCACCGATCCTGGGCCTCGGAGCGGCCCGTCCGGGATCGGTGCAGGCGTGTGTGGCTGGCGCCCTCCGAAGCGAAGGGGGGCGGAGGGAAGGGACGGCGCGAGGGAGGGACGGCGGGAGGGAGTGCAAGGCAGGCGCGGAGCGCCGGGGGGGGGGGGAGGGGGGAGGCCTCTGGGGGACTGCTGGGGCCATCCTGGAGGCCCTCGAGCAAAGAAGGGGGAGGGGTTCTGGATGATGGTCCCCCCTCCGTCCTCGGAGGAGGAGGAAGAGGAGGTGGAGGAGGAGGAAGAGGAGGAGGCGGAGGAGGAGGAGGAGGAGGAGGAGGAGGGAGAGGAGGAGGGGGAGGAAGAGGAGGAGGTGGAGGAGGAGGGAGGAAGAGGAGGAGGAGGAGGAGGAGGAGGAGGAGGAGGAGGAGAGGCAGAAGCACTGCCTCCCGGGGCGCGCGCGGGGCGCGCACGCTGCCGCATCGATCGGGCCCCTCGTGGCGCGGCCACGAGGGCGAGGCGAGGGGGCCCCGCCCGGCCGGGCCTCGAGCGTGCCGAAGTCGGCCAGGAGCGCGGACAGCTGGCCCACGACGGCCTTGCGGTGGGCCACCTGCGCGTCGCCGACGATGGGGAAGACGGGCCCGGAGACCGACGAGCTGCGCACAGCCACCAGCCCCGGCCCCAGCCCCATCACGGGGCCCTGGTCTACAGGTCGGCGGCGAGAGCCCAGGGAGGAAGCGAGAGAGGGGGCAGGCCTGCTCAGAGGCGGCGGGGCTCCTCAGAGACCTCCAGCGCTCCGAGGAGCCGTCTCCGTCTTCGGACACGGCTTAGAAAACTCCTCCGGAGGCCTGAGGCCTTCCGAGTGTTCGGGGAAGGTCCGCCCCCTCTGCACTCCCCCCCGCACTCGCCGCGGACTAGGGGAAGAACACACACACACACACAGAGCATAAACCTAAACGTTCGAAGGTTCGCGCGGAGTTCTTGGACCTGCGCTGGACCCCCCTCCGGGGCCCTGGGCTTGTGTGCGGGCGCTCGTGGCCAGGGGCCCGGGCACACCCGAGAGAGCCTGGCGGGCGCTGGCGGTCGCGTGCAGGTCCCGACCTCCGATAGGCAGGGCCAGCTGCAGACTGAGCTCCCCGAACCTGTCCAGGGGCGCCTGCGTCGCGGCCGCCACGCCAGCGCGGTAGGCGTCCAGCGCCTTCTTGGTCTCCCGCGTGGCGGGCTCCAGGAGGATGCGGTCGATCTCGACCTTCCTGATCTTGAGAGCGAACACGGTCCAGGGCGCCGAGGAGAGCACCAGCGCGAGCCGTTCGCTGAGCTGCTGGCACAGCGCTGGCCAGCCCAGCCCCTCAAAGTACGCACTCCTCTGCAGCTCGTCGAGTGGCTCGTGCAGCGGGACGAACAGATCCTGGAGAAGCCACGAAACACCGAGACCGCTGCACTTCTGGCACCTCTCCCGGGGCGCATTCTGATCAGAACCTCGAGGCGCACCCAGCCGTGGCGACGAGGGCCTCCCAGGAGGCAAAGAACGGCGAGAACGAGGAGGGGCAGCGGCATCGGCACCTCTTCCTGCCCCGAGATCCTGCGCTCCCACGAAGTTGCCCCGCAGCGGGGAGTCCAGGACCACCTGCTGGGCTCTCTCCAGCAACTCCCGCTGCCTGCCCTCGCGGAGGAAGTGCACCACCTGAGCGCGGCTTAACTGCTCCCTCTCTCCCTACCGGGGTGGCCTGGGCCCCACTGGCCAATCTGACCACCTACACGGGGGTGCAGGCTGTTCCCTTCGAACGGAACAGCCTGTGTCTCCATGTGTGCGCACCCCCAAACGGTACCGAATAAAATGCATCTACCCTTGAGTAAGCAAATGTCACGCACGCCTACGATGTCGCGTCAACCACGTAAGGCCACTAGATCTCACGACCGCCAAACATACCTACACCGTACCGGCCTGTCTACCCCCCGAAAACGACTTAAGGGAACATGATGGGGCGGGGGTGGGGGTCAAAAACGGAGCTCCGACCTTCGGGCTTCGAGGGGCAAACCCTCAGCTGGGGTGGTGAGGTGGTGGGGATCAGGATAGGGATGGGGATGGGCATCGGTTCAACGAGTCTGCACCACCGCGCACTGGGGCCTCGGGAGGGGCACCCCGCGGGAGTCCACGGCGGCCCGCAGCGCCAGGTCCGTGGGCGGCCGCAGGGATCGGAACACCACGCCCGTGATCCGCCTGCCGCTCTCTACGTCCGCCGCCGTACCCCCAGGGAACGCTAAGGCGTGGCACATGGGACGCAAAAAGGACGTACTGATCCCACCAGCACCCTCCTCCTCCCTCCTCCTCCTCCTCCTCCTCCTCCTCCTCCTCCTCCTCCTCCTCCTCCTCCTCCTCCTCCCCCTCCTCCTCGCCACCCCCCACACGCGGGCCCGGAGATGGCCCCAACTCGCCGCCCAGGCTGGCCTCCCTCGCTGCTTGATTGCGCATGTCTCTTCCTCTCTCCCCCCGTCAGCTCTCACGGGACTCGTTTCTGGATGGGCTGGTAGGGATACTTGTTGCTCGCGAGCGCAAGCGGGAGAGCCGCGCGCCGTCACAAGGATCAAGCAAACCTAAATGCCGCGGCCAGGGACAAAGGCGGCAAGCAAGCAGTATGAGATTGCAGGCAGCGCGCTCAGAAGTCGAAGACCGCCGAGCCCGCGTGCCGAAAAGCGCCCAGCGAGACCACAGGAAAACTCCAAGACGCTCGCACAGAGGCCCTCGAAGCCCAGATTACATCCCTTACGTCCTTCAACGCGCTTCGGTCCAAAACTGGACGACTTGCGATGTGATTACTGATACGATCCGCATTCTTAGTCTTAGCAAAACTCCTTGGCGGTCGTACCAGGTTGGGTTTTGCAAATTCCCCAAAGGAGTGCTTGCACTTAGGGATTCTTACTTCTTGCTCGAAAGGCTGGCTGCTGGTCTGGCGGCTCCATTCAGCGCCCCTCAAACGGGGACTCCACTAACGGGCACTTTGGCCACTGACCCAGCGAACCCAACCCTTCCCGATGTGGGCAAAGCTGCAATGCAAGAAAAAGGCCCTAAAGTGGCAACTTTCGGCAAAAAATCAAAGTACCCGTTAGTAAGTACCCGTTACGGTGCCGTTGATCCATAGTCGCCGTCGCCACCCCGCCGCCGCCCGTCGTCTGGGCCTGGCTGCCCGTCTGGCGGTCTCGTGGTCGCCGTCGTCGCTCCGGCGCCGCCTCGTCGCCGCCCGTCGTCTGGACCCGGCTGCTGGTCTGGCGGCTATAAAGGGGCCCCAGGACACACAAATAAATACACACAAATAAAACGATTCCCCATATGTTCCCATATTTTCCGGGTGTTTGTCTTCCCCCCCACGTCCCATGTTTTCCCATCTTTTCTGGGGAATCGACGATTAATTGTGTCTGTGTTTTTTTTTCCCGCCTGAGGCTAGGGGCCTCAAATCGGCCCCAGGACGATTTCAAGTGCCCTCTGGGCCCTCCAAGCACCCCCCCAAGAGGCAAAAATGGCTCCAAAGCCTGAGAACCAGTGGTTCCGCAAGGACCCCAAGAAAGACCCAAGATGGCTCCAAGAGACCTCCGAGAAAACGCTTCCAGGGCGTTGTTGGAAGGCATGCTTCTACACTTCCCTGATCAAGGCAACTCGCCTGGCGATATGTTCCTGGATGAACTGGTGGGGACACGAGAAGCGTGAAGAATTGAGCTTCCCGCCGGAAATCAATTCCGAGCCGTCGTCATCGTTACCCTCGTCACCATCATCTCTACCGCCGCTATAGACGTCACAACAAATCTTGCACAACATAGTTTGCACAACCTGTAGTGTACAACATCGATTGCACGCCATATGTTGCAAACCTATATTGCACCACATAGACTGCACAGTACTGTTTGCATACCATAGGCTGCACAACATACATTTCACCGCATTAGTGCACACCATAGCCTGCACCACATAGACTGCCCCACATAGCCTGCACCACATAGACTGCACCACATAGATTGCACAGCAAATGGACACTTCTGCACCACATAGATTGCAGTGGCTCACACTCTATAATGCTAGAAACACATGATCTGGGATTCACGCTGGATGTGAACATGTGTCATCCCCCTCGCCCGCGTCATCATGATGCTATCCCCGATTCTCCGCCACAGCGATTCTCCTCTTTCCCAAAATGAGGCTTGCCAAAAGGGTTCTTACTTGATTAAATAAGGGAGCCGAACTCTATACACCGACCCTGTTTTCCGGCTCCGCACAGAAACTCGCACGGGAAAGCGCATCCTGGTGTATACGGGGTCCTGGTGTATACATTTGTCGTTGCGTCCCCTGGAAGATGCGAAAACCAGTGTGCACCACACGACCCTGGATTCGTCCACGACCCTCAGAAAGGTCCAGGGATTGAAAAACAGCCCGCCACTGGTAATGTATATGTTCCAGTTGCCGATTAGAGGTTGGTGCCTCGGGGGCTTACTTCGCCCGTTCTTCGGAGCTTCCCCGAGTTTCCCAGGTTCCCTGGGCGCCTCGTGCCAAGCAACGCCGAGCAATGTCAAGCAGTGCCAGGCCCTGCGCCCATGCAGCAGGAAGCGTTCCCCTAACTGGGGTCGCGCCGGGTCCATTCTTCCTGATCCTCCTCATCACCATCACCATCGTGATGTCCTTCCTCCGCCCCAGCACGGCCAGGGTAGCAAACCCACGGCAGCCTCAATACGGCCGATGCGTCACATGTAGCGACCATGCGGGCGTTGCTCTAACAGTCGCCACACAGAATGTGCAGCAGGAGGAAGGAGGAGACACGAGGAGCTGGGATAGGATGAACACGAAGAGAAAAGAACATTTGATCTGGATGAGACCGAAGCCGAGGACACGAAACACACTGCAGACAAGAAGCGGAACAGCGACACACCGGGGCTGGGTGTCATAAGGGGAGAACAAACCTACCTCGCTTTTGATCACCCTCGCTTCCAAGAGATACCAAGCGATGCCAAACTACGGCCTATACTGGTCAGGCCGCTTGACGAGGAGGTGCGTGGTATGACTTGGTTCTTCCTGGAAGCGAACGCGGGGTAGGTAATTCACGCTCTGATGTCACACGCTGCAGCTTGCAGTGCGGTCCTCGAGCAGTCGGCGCCCAGTGCTGGGCTGGCACGCGGCGGGACTTGCCGCAGGCAGCTGCATAGACGTACCGGAGCTGGGCGATGAGCTCCCGCTTGGCCCAGTCGGCGGGGCTCAGCGGCACCAGCGCACGGCAGGTCTCCGCCATCGGCGCGCCCGCACCGAAGGCGATGAGACCGCGGCTGGCGTCCACGAGGAACCAGAAGTCGCGGGTGGCCTGCTGTGGGCTGAGCCGAGCGTCCTTGAAGAGGCCCACAAACACACAAATAAATACACACAAATAAGATGATTCCCCATATTTTCACATATGTTCTGAGTTTTTGTCTTGCCCCCCACTTCCCATATTTTCCCATATTTTCCTGGGAGTGGACGATTAATTGTGTCTGTGTGTTTTCTCCCCTCCTGAGTCCTCCTCGTACGTGCACTCGAGGTGCTGCTTCTTCGGCTGGTACGGGTTCCCGAAGCCCACGGTGGAGACCGAGTTCCGGCGCTTGCCGACCACGAAGCACAGCACCTCGGCGCGCCCGCGCGTGGGGCCCTCGCGAGGGGGCCACGAGAGGGGGGGCTGGCTCAGGGAGGGAAGCGTCGACCTCGAGTCGGCGATACGTCGCCCGTGTATAGGGGGCAAACAAACCTACCTCGCTTTTGACCACCCTCGCTTCCAAGAGATACCAAGCGATGCCAAACTGCGGCCTGTACTGGTCAGGCCGCCTGACGAGGAGGCGCGTGGTATGACCTGGCTTTGCCTGGAAGCGAAAGCGGGGTAGGTAATTCACGCTCTGAATGTATCGGCGCTAGGGCCCCCGAGAGCAAATCCAAACGCTCCTGGGCGAGGGGGGGGGGCAATCGGGCCCCTGCCGGCGATCAGTGGCCGGTGCGGGGTCGATGCGTCCCCCCCCCTGAGCCCGCTCCGCCCAGACGTTGCCCCTGGCCTCGCTGTGGGAGAAGACGACCCGGAACGGCGCCTCGGTGTTGCAAGCGAGGTGCACCACCTCACGAGAGGCGAACACATCGGGGATGGACAGCACCCCCTTTAGTAAAACGTGGATTAGTGAAAACGACCTCGGGCCCAAACCTGGCGGGCGCAAGCCTGGAAAACGACGGCCGCGGCGCTTTCTCGAGAACCGAAAACGGACAATTCACTACTCGACGTGTCAGGGTAGGAGGCCTGTCCACCCCCGAACACATCCGCATCCGCGCGCCTGCGGACTGGACTCCGGGGCACGGTCCCGCAGATACGCGGTCGCACGGCTGCGTTCCGCGCGGGACACTCGCGGAAAAGCTTCCCGTACCTGCGGGGTCGCGGCCCAAGGGCCAGGCCCGCGAGGCCGCGGGCACGGAGACCTCTTCCGCCCTGGACAGCCGCGCGTGGAGAGGCGCGCCGGCGTCCCCCTGGTTGTGCCGTGGCCCATCCCTGCCGCTGCCGAGCAGCCCTTGCCTTGACAAAATCGCGTACCTCGGTCTCGCTTCTGCCCACGTCTCCTTCCAACCTCTCCCTTCTGTCGAGCCGGGTGAAAGGGGGGGATAGCAAAGGGGGGGTTGGAGAATCAGCTCACGTAGATGATTTTTCCGGCGCCTCCCGGCGCTGGGAGGCGCCCATGTATCGAGGAATGGGCCCGGCGGCGGGGCCGAAACCAGCTGCATGCAGCAGATTTCGTAGCCCCCACTTTCCCCCCCCTTCCCCTATCCTCCCCTTTCGTTCGGCCCGATTTTGGTGGCCCTCCTCCTCCTCCTCCTCCTCCTCCTCCTCCTCCTCCTCCTCCTTCTCCTCCTCCTCCTCCCCCTGCTCCCCCTCCCCCTCCTCCTCCTCCCCCTCCCCCTCCTCCTCCTCCTCCTCCTCCACCTCCTCCCCCTCCTCCTCCTCCTCCTCCTCCTCCTCCTCCTCCTCCCCCTCCTCCTCCTCCTCCTCCTCCTCCTCCTCCTCCTCCTCCTCCTCCTCCTCGCTCTCATCCGCAGTTGCCAGGTGCTGCGAGTGTGTTTCGCCCAAGCGCAGCCCTTGCCCTGAGACAAGCACGCACGTGCCTCGGTCTCGAGCCCCCCTCCCCTTCCAGCCTCTCCCGACCTGGCCCTCCTCTGGACTCCAGAAGCCTCTTAGATGGGGTCCGAGCAGATTGAGGGGGCCCTCGGACATACAAATAAATAGACCCAAATAACAGGATTCCCCATATTTCCCCATGTGTTCGGGGTTTTTGTCTTCCCCCCCACCTCCCATATTTTCGCATATTTCTGGGGAATCGACGATTCATTGTGTCTGTGTGCTTTTTCCCTCCTGATAGTTAGATGGGGTCGGAGGATCGCGCCGCATCGCCGATGCATCGGCGATGCGACTCGATGTTTGCGATGAGCCGGCGACGGCGTTGAGAAAGTCAGGCTCCACATCGAGCCGCATCGCCGATGCATCGGCGATGCGGCGCGATCCTCCGACCCCATCCACTCGGACCCCATTGTAGGGCGACGAGATCTATGCATATCCACTGCTCCTGGCCAGGCCAATCCTGGGCCCAGGAGCGGTGTATACGCCCTCCTGGCCTGGCCAGGGAGGCATATACACAGCTCCTGGGCCCAGGATGGGCCTGGCCAGGAGCAGTGGATATGTATAGATCTCGTCGCCCTACATTGGCAGCCGGGTGCTGCGAGTGTCTTTCGCCCACGACCACCCCGCGCCCTGGCTCCGCCAGCTCGCCCAGCAAAGCCTGCTGGTGCCCGGCGGATACCGGCACGTAGTCGCCCGGGGCGACCCGGGAGCCCTCCATGCCGCGCCGGGTGTTCCCAGGAGTGGTCCTGGCCCGGGGCTGGAGGCCTCCTAGATGGGCGCCAGAGAGAAGCAGGAAGGCGCCGGCCGTACACCTACACCCTGCGAAATGCTTAAGAAATCATGGGTTAAGAAATTCATAGTCTCAGAACTTGAATAAAAAACCGAACATTTCCATCAAAATCTTAAGATTTACATTGAAACGTTAAGAATACTCGAGACTCTGGCCGAAAACTTAAGTTTTCTTAAGCATCGCCTAAGGTGTACACCATTCCTGGCCTGGCCCATCTTAGGCCGGCCGAGAATCGGTGCATATGCCCTCCTGCCTCGGCCAGGAAGGCGTATACACCAAGCCTGGGCCCAGCTTCGGCTGGGCCAGGATCACATGGCCAGCCTCGTCGACTCATCGTCAACGTCAGCGATGCAGCGGCGCCGTCGGCGTGGAGAAAATCGGGCTCCGCATCGAGTCGCATCACCGGTGCATCGCCGATGCGGCGCGATCCTCCGACCCCATCTACTCGGACCCCATCTGGGAGGCCCCGGGTGTCCCCAGCAATTCGAGCCATTTTGCAGCCTCTGCTGGGACCCTCATGGGGGGGTCTTTGGCGACCATCTGAGCGACGATCAAAAACGGCTCTTGCGCGAGATGATATAGCGATCTTACGCCGCAGCTTACACGGGCCGGTGGCGCGGCACGCAGCATTGGAGACGAGGGCGCTTGTGCGCGACCCCAAGCGGGCAGCAATGTCGTCGCAGACGACACCCTCTTTGTGCGTCGCTCATCTGGACCTCCCTGGAGACCTTGGGGACACCTCGGGCCAAGGACACTCCTGGCAACACCGGAGCTAACTCGCCCTCTGGGGGCGGGGCGGAATGCCGGCCACTTGAGAGCGCGCGCGCACACACCCTATCACACACACACACACACACACATACACATAGACACACCTAAATACATGTATATATATGTATAGATTAGATACACATGCGGATATGCATACATGAATGCGTGCATGCATGCATGCATACAAGCAGGTTGGCGGGCAGGTAGGCAGGCAGGCAGACAGGCAGGCAGACGGACAGACAGACATTTACACACCGGCAGACATACACACATACATATACACATACATACATATCTGATGCACACACATACATGTATGTATGCGTGTATATATATATATATATATATATATATATATGTATCCGCCGCCCCCCTTGTGGGGCCACCAGGCTGTAGGACCGTGATTCGCAGTTTCCTGTACCAGTCGTAGGTTGTAGTTTCCAGTGTTACAGTTCTGCTTCTTGCTGGTTACTGTAACTAGTTGACTTCTTGCTGGTTACTGTAACTAGTTGATTGACCGCGCGAGGGGGGGGGAGGCCCAAACAAGATTTTTAGCGTCTCCTGGGCGCGTTGTCTGAATTGCTGGGGGGGCTCGAAATCGACACCCCTCACGCAGATCCGCGGGGTCAGGGTCCAAAAACACAGGGATTTGCCACATTTCTGAAATTCGGTGCCACCCCTCACGCAGATCCGCGGGGTCAGGGTCCAAAAACACATGGGATTTGCCACATTTCTGAAATTCGGTGCCACCCCTCACGCAGATCCGCGGGGTCAGGGTACAAAAACACATGGGATTTGCCACATTTCTGAAATTCGGTGCCACCCCTCACGCAGATCCGCGGGGTCAGGGTCCAAAAACACAGGGGATTTGCCACATTTCTGAAATTCGGTGCCACCCCTCACGCAGATCCGCGGAGTCAGGGTCCAAAAACACAAGGATTTGCCACATTTCTGAAATTCGGTGCCACCCCTCACGCAGATCCGCGGGGTCAGGGTCCAAAAACACAAGGGATTTGCCACATTTCTGAAATTCGGTGCCACCCCTCACGCAGATCCGCGGGGTCAGGGTCCAAAAACACAGGGGATTTGCCACATTTCTGAAATTCGGTGCCACTCCTCACGCACATCCATCGCAAGGCGTGGTAACCCAAACTGCGAGAACTCCCTCGGCCCTGTAATCGCAAGGTGTGGTAACCAAGCCCGTAAACCATACACGTCTTACCAATCGCCAGGTGTGGTAACCCCTCTTGTGATCAGTTGGTTTTGCTGATTGCGAATCGGCTTCGCATGAAGTTTCGATACTGCTTCACGACAGCGCCAAGGCCTCATGACTTAGCTCTTCCATGGCCCATTCTCCGAGAGGGGGCCGGCGGCAGGGGGCGAAGCCCTTACGGATATATACAGATACATCCGTGCCCCCCGTCACTGTCGGCTTGCTCTCGCCAGCCTGCGTGAGGAAATGCCTAATTCCATCCTGCGGTCAGGACGAAGGAATGCTCAATTCCATTCTCTGTGGTCAGGATATTTGCCTTCTCAGGTGGCGAATTGTAGACCTATTGCTCACGAGTAACTCTTCCATCAGCGCCTCCAACATGGAGCTCCGTGCGGTGGAGGAGAAGGTGGCGGACGAGCAGGAGGATGAGGAAAAGGAGGATAATAAGGAAAGAGGATGAGGAATTAGAAGGAGGACGAAGACGAATAGCAGCAGCAGGCGTTGGACCGGAAGGAGCGAGAGGAGCAGGAGGGCCAGGGAAAGGCGGAGGAGGGGAAGGAAGGGGGGCGACAACGATGTTGGGAGAAGGGTGCACCATCGAGGTTCGCCATGGAAGGGCCTGTTTCTGGCAGCGATCGCTCCGCGATCGCAACAGAGACGGTGCGCAAGACGAGCAATTCGCCAGCCCAACGGGCCAGAGGAGTGAAATCTCTGGTAAGAGCTGAAGAATGTTTCTAGTGTTCGCGCGCGCGTGGCGGCCCCTAGGGGTCCCCGGACGAAAAATACCCAAGCAAGGTCTCGGGAGCGGCCAAGAGGGGGGCGTCCAAGAGAAGGAGGTGCAAATCATGACCGGCGGCACGTGCGCGGCCCAGCGGGGGGGCCAGGGACGTAATGAAACAAGAAGAGGCGCCATGAAATCTGGGGAGATATCATGGCCCACGCCATGATATCCACCCCCCCCTAGTCATCACCCCCCTCGTTTCCGCCCCCGAAGGTCCTGGCACAGTCCCGGCAAGTCCCCAGAAGGCCCCCCCAGCAGGGTCGGGTCAGAAATGCCGGAACTCCTGGGCGGGGCCTCGTGGGCCCCCAGAGCGCCCCAATGAGGCGCCGAATGGGTGGCAGGCCCCACGGCCTCAGGCCAAGAGCGTTCCAAGATGGCCCCAAGACGGCCCAAGAAGCGCCCAAGACGCTCCAGGAGGCTTCCAAGAGGACTTCGAAAGGCCCCGAAGACGCAAAAACCGGCGATTTCGGCGATTTGGGTGGTTTCCGGGCGACTTGGTAAGGTGTTCTCGCGATTTTGGCGGTACCACCTTGTCGAGCTGCCGACCGCCCTGGACGGCCCAAGAGGCCCCAAGATCGCTCCAAGACGGCCCAAGAACCCTCCAAAAGAACCCCCAAACGGCGCAAGATGGGCCTAAGACGGCCCAAGAGGCCTCCAAGACTGCCCCAGGATGGCCCCAAGAGGGGGCCAAGAGGGAGAACCCGAACAGACATTTCGAGCTCTCGGTTCCAAGACGCGCCCAGGAAACCCCCAGAGGCCCCCAAGAGCCCTCAAGAGGCCCCAGGAAGCCCCAAGAGGCCCCAAGAAGACCCCATGGCCCGAAAGGATCCGCAGAAGCATCCAAACTGCTCCCCAGAGGCTCCCGAGAGCCCTCCGAACAGACCACGAAAAACATGCATGAGGATTCTGACCCACAAATCAGGTACGTCTCGAAACTCTGATGGGGCTGTCTTGAGCCATCTTGGCGCCCTCTGGGGCAGTCGATCGGCTCTTCTCGACAGGGTGGAAGCGGTACCTCCAAAGATCTCCTCGACGACATTCCCGCCTGCCTTACCGTCCCCCCTGGGCACGAGCACGCCACGACGAATGAGCGAAGCGTTCGGTGGCAACTCATGGGAGCCTCCCACACCAGTCTGTCAGCTCTTGCAAATCGACGCTAATCGACGCTAGTCGATGCTCATCGACGCTAAACCGACGCTAATCGACGCTAGCCGACGCTAAATCGGCGCTATATCATCGACCCCCAGACGCTAATCGACGCTAATCGACGCTAAAGACGGAATTAGAAGGGTATAGAAGGCTCCCATGACTTGCTGCCGAAGAAGCGGGCCGGCGGAACGAGCGAAGCGACTAGATAACGACGCGCGCACACGAGTCTTGAGCCGCGGCCGGCAACTGTACTGGCGCGCGGCTCGCTGCCAGCGGCGAGCGCCGGGGCCAAAATAGGGAAACGGTGGGTGGCGGGAGCACAGGGCAGCCAAGATCACGAGGATGGTGAGCCTATCGCCCCCCCCACTTCTCCTCCATCTCCTCCTGAATACGTAGGGGTAAAACAAACGCACCAGGGCTGAGCCTCAACGGCGTTTTTGTTCGTTGTCGTTCTGGTTTCGTTGCCCCTCGTTGTTGTCCTCAATCCGCCTCTACCGCAAAACGATGTCGAAACGAAGACGGCCCACGAAATCGCCAAAACGCCGTTTAGGTCCAGCCTTGAAACGCAACACCACCACCACTTGGAGAATGGAGGCAGAGGGTGGTCATAGGTGGTGGTGGTGGTGGTGTATATCGTTTCGGGCGCTCTCGCGGGACATCGTGCACACCCGCACATGAGGTCTGGCATTGCCGGGCTGCGTCGCGATGACGTCTGACCGAGCCCGGCGTCATGGCCAATACCGGCCCCATCCGAGTGCCTGGGATATGTTTGAATATCTCGGGATATCTTATAATAGTAATAATCCCGATTGGTTCGAAGAACAGATTCAAAAATATTCAAAGATATCCACAGATTTCGAAGATACTCAAGACAGACGTTCTGGGATGGGGTGGGATTCGCGACTGGTCCTGGGCCAGAAAACGCGCCGTCTGGTCGATCAGCCCCCCCCAAGTAACGAATGCAAGCTGTAGGATGCGACGAGTATGCGTTGCTGTCGATTGCAAGGGGTGGAC